GCACCCAGCTTTACACTGGCCTGCACTGAAGGCTGTTTTCAAGTCATCACCTTTCATCGATGCCACCCATCCTCCTTTTATACCCAATGCAGGTCTCATCTTTTGCAATACTCACGTGTAGTTCCATGGTTAGACAGACAGACAGTGAGGAGACACCGTAGACAGATGTGCTTAGTTACAATATGTATTTATTGATCCATGACCATTGATCAATTATTCCAGGGATAGTGTATGAGCAAAAGAACCAAGTCCATGAATCAAGAGGAACTTTTTTTTTTGAAAGGGAGAAATAAAGAAATTGCTCCCCAAACACCTTCAACAACCAGGGCTTGGCTAGGCTGAACTCTGGAGTGAGAAACTCAATCTCCTGTGTGGGTGGTGCTTTATAGCCATCACCTGCTGCTTCCCACAGTGCACATCAGCGGGAAGCTGGAGGTAGAAGCCAACATCAAATCCAGGCATTCCCATATGGGATGTGAGTGTCCCCAGGCAGGGTACCAAATGCTGTACCAATGTTGGCTGTCATCAAGAGGGGTTCAGAGCAATTCAAATCCCTTACATAGTCTTTTCCATGAAATGCAGTGGCAACTCCTGCACTTGGCTTCTCACAATCTCCCTTTTCCTCTGCATTCTCTGCTCTGCTGTGTGGAGCTCAACATAACCTTCTCCCTAGCTGTTTCACCTAGCTTGGCCCCATGATCCTGCTCTCTGTAATTCCCCTTCTCTGCCTTCCTTTAGACTCTCCTTTTCTAAACCCACGGCCTAGTGACAAGCAGAAGTCTCTTGGGAGGGAGGGACGACACAGAGTCAGAGAAGCTCTGAGAGACAAGTGTGAATGCTCCCCTGTAGGCAGTCCTCACTGGGTATTCATGTGCATGATAAACACATGTCTGTTGTAGCCATGTAAAACCTAAGCTAAGGTTTACAGAGACCGTGCCTGACATGTCCAGCTCAGAGTTAAGAATAAACACTCAACGTTTTCACTGTGGAATGAAGACTGTGAGCACGCAACCCACTCATGCTCTACAAAACCGAGCATACTGCTGAGCCACAGCATTATACAACCTGCTTTTGAAATATGTCATTGTTTATTTTATTCTTTGGAAATTGCAGATTTTCCATATTCCAGATTCATGATTTCATGAATATATATATATATATATATATATATCTCCCATGACAGCTTGGTTCTGTAAGGTGCCTTGAATTGATGTACAGCTGTCCTAGGCTTTATTCACATACGACCCTCACACAGGAGGGTATGAAAAACCCCAAATCTGAAAACACAAGTGTTTAGTCCCACTTGGTCTCATGATTTTCTAATTATATTCTGATAGCTTATCATCCTGTCTCATTTCCTCAGTTTCTGCTGTGGAACGGAAGTAGCTTCAGAGACGATGTGGTAAATCCCTGGGGTATGAATGGCCTTGCTATGAGCGTGCTGTGTCCAGACTGTATCCTGGGAAGACGAGAAGGAATTGAGTCTCCCATTGGGCAGACCATCTGCCACCCGTCGCCACCTGTTCCACTTTCCTTGTTAAACCTCCAGGCAGCATAAAGGAAGTAAGAGTCTCTTTTCTTTCCAGTTTTCAAACAGCACTTTCTGCATAAAAGGTGCCCTAAATCCTTTGTACTATCCCTGTCCCCACGCAGTGGGCTCTGCAATCATCCACTGTCTGGCAATGCCACGCTGACAGTGACAATACAGATGCCACCAAGCTTCTGCTGAGCAGCTACTCCTGGTTTTTTGTCCTACTTTCCCCAGAATAAAAACATTCATTTGTGAACTGCCGAGCAGGCTATGCATTGAGTGGGTGGTGGCCTGGAGAGGGCAGGGGCTGGTCACTCATCTGGTGCTGTTCTGGGTTAAGTGGAGTCTTAAAGTTCAGTCAGAAATGAAGACAAATAGCTGTAAAGAAAGCTTATTGTCCCTCATGTGGAGAGATGCTCAGATTAAAGCAAGCAGCTCCCTGGGTTCCAAAGGATGGGATGGTGCTGTCACTTTCAGAAATTTATCCAATTCGAATACTTGGGCAAATGTACAAACATAGTAAAAAACAATTCAAACGTTTTTCAACAGGGAATGGGTCGAATGAATGATGTCCACACTGTGGGATCTACTGAAGCAGTTAAGAATAACTTGGGGTTGGGGGAGGTCCTGGATCGGTGGCCTAGCAGCTAAAGTCCTCGCCTTGAATGCACCAGGATCCCATATGGGTGCCAGTTATATTCCTGATGATCCCACTTCCCATCCAGCTTCCTGCTTGTGGCCTGGGAAAGCGTCGAGGACAGCCCAATGCCTTGGGACCCTGCAACTGTGAGGGAGACCTGGAGGAAGTTCCTGGCTCCTGGCTTCGGATTGGCTCAGCATCAGCCGTTGTGGTCACTTGGGGAATGAAGCATTGGATGGAAGATCTTCCTCACTGTCTCTCCTGTCTGCATAGCTGACTTTTCAATCATATATGTACAAAAAAAGAATAACATGGGGCTTCTCTGGTCCATCGGAGTGGTAGGTGTTGAGTCAGTGAGCCCCAGGGCTGGGGAGGTCAGTGGGACCGGGTTGCCTGGCCCTGGTCCTTGGGCTCACCTGTGAGAACTGTTCCTCCTCATTTGATGGCTGGTCCAGATGCACATGGAGGACATGGCAGCCCATTGATGCAAGCAGATGACATCTAGTTCATAGCAAAGGAAGGAGGGCAGAACAAACTGACTAACTACCCGAGCCAAAAAATGACAGCAAATAACTGGGTGAATGGAGAACGTAAGGTTGACTATGTCAACCAATGCACATTCGAAAGGGGCCCTTACCCTTTGATCTGTGCGATCAACAGCATTTGAAAACTAGCAAAACCACTGGGGCAGAATCCTCAGAGCAAGCATCATATCGGGGACCATGGTTTGTTATCAGAAGGCCGATCCCCATCTCCGGGTCCTGGGGCGGTTGACAGGCTGGGTATGACTTCTCCCCTTATCTTCTCCCTTCTTCCAGATACAGGAAGAAGAAATAGAAAATTTGGAAACAATAAACACACCCACTTTTCCCTAAATGTGTGCATCCTTCCCACTTGGATTAACATAATCAAAAACAAAAAAAATTTAAAAATATTAAAACATTTTTAAAAAGAATAACTTGGCTGTGGGCCCAGCCAGGAGAGATTGCCACCAACCCACACTCTGGAAAAAGCAGGTTGCAGAACCTCCACCCCTATGCTGTCATTTCCATGGATAAGAGAAATGATAAGAATGAGGGCTGGGCTTGTGTGGGAGGGGAAAGTTCTGGGATCAGAACCTGAGGCTCACCTTCCAGGGAATATTTGCCTTTCATCGGTCATGTATAACATTTGCACTCTGGAAACCTAGAAAAGCAGCCACCTGGCTCAGCATTCCCATATAGGAGAGGCAGCTTCTTCCCAGCAGCTCCAAGCGATCCTGTCCGGCCCAGCGCTCTTCCACCTGTTTGGAGCATTTCCCCATGTTAATCAGGTTGGCACTAAGCTCCTGCTGCACGCAGAATCCTTGAAGGGCCTTATGGCCAGACCTTTATCCTCTTTCCCACCTGCTCTGGAAAGTCAACTTGGAGCACTTCTTCTGGCTCATATCCAAGTGCAGCCGCTGGGGACAATCTGTTAGCAGTGTATTGTTTTGCTCTTAACAACGTAGCAGTTTGTTTGAGCACGGAGTGGAAGTATATTTTATCTGCCAGTGGCATTAACACGGTTCAGAATCAGCACACACACACAGATGCACATACAAGCCATCACATGAATGTGCACACACACATGTGCATGTGTGCATGAAAACACACTTGCATACACAAATTCTTCTGCAATCCCTGCCTGTGTACACTTATGTGGTCACACATGTGCCTCTGTGCACAGACATGAGACTTCATGCACACACACACATGCAAGTTCTTGTCCTGATTTTCACAGACATGCACCCACGCACATCCACAAAGGAACACACACACGCATGAACTCAGTCATGCTCTGATTGACAGGTTCTCAAGTCTTTGATGCTGAGAGAATGTTCAGAAGCCACAGGTGAAAGCTAAGCGTGCAAGGGCCACACCCCCAGGGTCGTCACTCACACTTCCCAGTCCTCACAAGCCAACCTCTATTGAGCAAGTGTTAGCAGGTGCTGGTGTCTTGGTAAAGGGAGAGGTGGCCGTTTGCGGTGTCTTCACAGGTGCCAAGTGCCTACTTCTCCCTCATTCAGACTTTGTTCTTTGAATGCTGTAGCACGTGGCTACCAGGTGTGAGGACAACACGGGTCCCAGGGTTTTGAGATGGAGTCAGACTGATTTCATACTTGGCATACAGAGAGGAAGCCAGGTTTATTAAAGTACGTACAAAGTTCATTCCCACCAGCCAGTGGAGTTTGTGGATATTCCATACAGATCAACAACATGTAAACACATGTTGGCTGTGTGGGCATGTAGCTATGCAATGCTACCATTGAGTCCACAGTCCATGGCCTTCCTATTTCCAGGCAAGAGATGGGCCTCTTGCTCCATTTAGCCCTGGTGCATGCTTAGCTAAGAATGTCTTAAAGCAAGAAGGACTAATACTCCCCCAGTGACTTCCCAGTGGGTGATAGCCACCCTGATGACCACACATCCAAAAGCCCTGACCATGGTCTGTACAGCCCAGCCAATGACAATGAATACCCCGATGACGGCTGATGGCTACTCGCCGACCAGTGGCCCACAGGATCTCAGTGCCTGCTCAATGTCATCTAGCCACTGACACCACCTTTCCTGTTGAGGGGAAAGTTATGTTTCCTTGAAACCCAAGGAGATGGGAAATGCCCCGACCTTCTTCCCCCAGATAAAACTCCCACTGCCTTTCCCTGCTCCTGCACGGGCTGTGCTGAAAAGCCTGCACCCTACTAGACACATGGGACCTGTAACGTTACAGGAACATGGGCTGCAGTGCTTCCATTTACAGGGGAATCCGTGGGGCAAAATGTGCTTAACATTGAGTCTAGGAGTCAAGGTGTCTGCATTGGGCTTGCGCACAGTGGTTGGGGTCTGGGAGAGTTGTAGGGACAAAGACTGGAGGCTGAGAATGGAGACTGTGCCCAAATGTGCTGCTCCCTTTGCTACCCTGCGTACCCCTCCCCCCATGAGATCGTTTCAGACATTTCTGCTGGACCTACCTTTCCAGGCCTGCAAACATCCAGATGAAAGAAAGCTAGGCTGCTTTCTGCCAGTATTGGATAGGGCCATGCGATACTGTTTTCTATTGTAACAAAAATAAATCTCCATCTAAACAGAAACAATCTTAAGATTGCTTTCATCAAGAGAACAGGTTTCCCATTTCCACCTGCTGCTATCCCTGGTCCCGCATGGCCCCATCCTCTGTGACTGTAGTCCTGCCTGCAGCCTGAGTCGGGTGAAGTATTTGGCTCTGTGGCTGCTGCAGCGTGTCAGGTGAGTCCTGTAGACAGAACACAGGGCCAGAGAGGGGCCCCCTGGTCACCTGCAAGACATACAGGTGCTAGACTTTAACTTTGGCTGGGGTGCGGTGGGACTCAATGAAGGGTCAATGTCCTCCCACAATGATCTGCTACCACCTGGTGGTCTTCTATGGGCTTTCTTTGGTAAGACAGAATAGCTCCATGACAGTGCTGGGTTGGGTGCTGTGATGCAGAGTCACGGCGAGGGCAGTTGGGCAGGGCACGATCCTGGGGGAGCTGGGGACATGAAATTCCAGGGTGGTGGTGTTGGTGGAGGTGGTGGGAACATGGACAACTCTTCTGATGATTTTTTTCTGGTCCATCTTGGTATGCAGGAGTTACTTTCCAGAGGGCCCAACCCAGCTTCTGTACCAGTGTCTTGAAGATACTAGTGGCCCTTCTTGGATGGAGGCCACCAACGTGGTTTGGATACTAGTTCCGTGCTAATGCCCAGTCTCAAGTTCATGTCTTCAGACAGGGCAGCGAGTTTTCCCAAGAGGCAGCACAGAGTGGAAACCCTCTCATCTTCCTTTAGCAGCTGTGGGCCATGGTTCTGGGCCACGGCATTCTGTTTTAAGACTTCAGGGACCACCCTCCTCTCCCGTTTTCTTGACAACTGATCCATCTACAGGGCTGAACAACATTATGAACAAACTGCTCTAAATGCTGGAGTTCAGCAATCATTAGCATTTAAGCCAATTTGGTTACAACATGTCCTCAGTGAATCAGCTGACAACTGGGTAGACCAAGTTGAGACCTTAACACGTGCACCGGGAGGAAGTGAGCACACCACGCTTTGCAGGAACCCTACAGCCTCCCATTGCACCTGCATCACAGAATGGGCTAGATGACTGAAGTCTCTGTCTGCAGGAAGGACTGGGCACGGGAGCCCCGGTGGAACTGCAGGGCACTCTCTGAGCCGTGTCGGGAGATGGACGAGCCATGCAGCCTGTAGTCCCGGCTCCTGGGCTGGGTTGGGCACAGGCCTCTCCACTTTCTTTTCAACTCACTCTGTACCTGGGGGAGTTAAGGGCATCAGCATATGGTAAACTCATATTTATTACAGGTACTTCCTGAAAAAACACCGCTCCCGAGAAATTGCCCTTTGGCTCTTCCTTCTGCTTAAGTCAGGTGGTGGATAGAGCGCTGCTATCTGCATCCCAACCAGATGGGCAAAAGCAAAGATAGGCATAGGGGAGGGAGGTGTGGGGAGGAGCCATGAAGACTGTTCCGATTACGGGGTGATTGGTTCTGAGAGCTGGCCAAGGCTACAAACAGGGGCTCACGTACCTGCTGCTGCAGACAATTAATAGTTATAGAGAAGTTGGTCTTCAGGGACTGGATCCCCTACCTTCTCTATTGCTTTTGCAAGGCAGGGAGTGCTGGCTCTGACCAGGGGACATAGGGTGGGTGAGGACAGGGGGACAGAAGGGCTTCGTGGGATCAACAGAAGGAAGAAGCAGAACAGAGCAAGTATAGCAGAGTAAAGCGAGGCGATTTAGAGCAGCATAACAGGAGCTGGGAGGAAGCAGTGAGAGTGATGGCAAGACTTCCCAGGATGCTGTGGGGAGGGAGGCATCCTAGCAGGTACTGGGTGTGGCCCTGAAGGGTGCATGGGTGCATCACGGCCTGGGCACATGTTAGAGAGTCATCAGACCGGCTGCGTCCCCAGCTAAGGCATGTGGATAGAGAAGGTACCAGCACGCACGGCAGGCTCATGGAAAGTGACTGTAAACAGCATGAATGACTCAGCTCCCAAGTCACTAAGGTTGAACAAGCAGCCTGGTGACAGAGCAAAGTCAGCTCCACCAAAGCGCTTCTCATGGATGGATGAGGCTGAGCCATAGGAGAAGGTCTTGAATGGGTGGCAATGTTGCCTGGGGGAAGTGGGCATGGCATAGGTGAAGTGAGGGTCATGGGGTACGGGGAGCTTCAGTATAGAGGAGAAAGATTTCTGCCCCACCTCAGACTTAATGTGGAAGGACCAGACTCAGCATCTCTCAACCTCCTGGGTATGGACCCCAATAGCCCTCTCTCCAGGTGGGCTCCAACTTCCTGGGATGCACAAGTCATGCCGGCAACCCAGAGGGCTCTGCAGACAACCATGATCCAGGTTAATGCAGTGCATCATGGGTCTGAGGTTTGGGGACTGGCATTGGAGGAAACCACTGGAGGTTAGGCCAAGTACAGGAAAACAGAACAGGGCTCGTGCTGCTCAGTCCAAGAACATGGACGCCTGGGCGGTGAGGCTAAGCCCCTAGGAGCTGGAGATGGTTACCCACTGAGCTGAATGCATTTCTGAGCCCTCAGACAAATTGAGCAGTGTGCCTGGCTCCTGAGGTGTTAAGGGACTTACCTCACTGTTCAGGAAGCAGTACAGAACAGCCACAACCAGTCCCTGCAACAAGAAAGGCCCCGTCAGCCATGATCTCAGCCGGGCTGTAACCTCAGCACCCTGCCACACGTACCTGGAAGGAACCGATGCACAGCTCAAACAGGATCTGGTACTTGGAGGAGATGCCAATGGGAAACACGGCAAACACCATGTAGTGCACGCCGAACAGCGGGATGAGCAGCAGCGTGGACTTGGCGAGTCTCCTGCACCCAGGGAGGAAGAAGGTTCAATCAGCAGGTGGCTGGTGTGTGCACGCACACATACACGCAAATGGCTCATATCAGCCTCAGACCGTGCGAACTGCTGCACAGCGGGGCAGGCTCCTGAGGCCCAGGCCCCATCCACTCTGTTCTCCCTCCTGCAGTTAGCTACACTTGTTGTTGGTTTAAGTACAAGAGGCACAACTGGGATGGGAAAATAGCTTTGCCCCCTGAGGGCACCTGGCAAGGCCCACTGAGGCTGGTGCCATCCTAAGACTTTGCTGATCCGCCTGTCTTTAGTTTCAACAGTGGAGACCCCACACAGGCACGTGAAAGAATCAGGACAAGTTCTAGATGCCATGCAAAGGGACATATTCATAGCACAGGCCAGCACAAACATAGAGGGGGACCTTTACACCAAGATGGAGTCTGGCAGGTGCCCCCACAGAGGCCGTCTTTCAGCATGGCCACCCTGAGTTGTGCGTGCAGTTGGGTGAATGGGCCTGGGGACAGTCTGTCAGTCACTCCATCCCAGAGTTGCCATCATCTCTCACCAAGGCATATCTCCAGACACACTGAACCCTCCCTCCCTAAGGGCCTTGCTCTTGGCCTCTGTTCCCTATGTCCCACCAGGCAACTCTATGTCAGTGCCTTACCCCCATACAACATTTATCTAAATCAGTGCTTTTCAAACCCCCAAGTGAATCTAAATCACCTGCAGGCTTCGGTAAAAATACAGATTCCCATGAAGCAGGCATTGGGGCTTAGTGGGTAAAACCACTGTCTGGAGCTCCAGCATCCCATGTGGGTGTTGGTTTGTGCTCCGGTTGCTCCACTTCTGATCCAGCTCCAAGCTAATGCGCTTGGGAAAGCAGCAGAAGATAGCCCAAGTGCTTGGGCCCTTGCCACCCACCTGGCAGATCTGGATGGGAGCTGCAGGCTCCTGGCTTCCATCAGACTTGGCTGCTGTGGGCATTCGGGGAGTGAACCAGTGGTTGGAAGATTCTGTCTGCAGGTTCCCAGCTCCACTCTCAGAATCTCTGACTCAGAGAACCTGGATCACAGCCCAAGCACCTGTGTTCCTATTCAGCTGCCCAGTGCTGCTGCTCCTGCTGTCTGGGGATCTTACTTTGAGCACCCTGGCTCTGAGTTGGCAATGCTAACTAACGCACAGTGGAATCATCTGGGAGCCTTCTCACATCCTCCAGTCCAGTTACTCATGCTCCAGTTACACTGGGTGGGCTGCGGATCAGGAGGCGGGGTCGCCAGGAAGGGCCGCAGCCCCAGCCCTGGTGCCTACAGCACTGAATAACTGTCCCGCTAATGACATTTATCTGAGAGATCAATATCTCTGAGACGACCAGGCCATCTGCTCCGGAAAGCTAGGAGCTGAAGGGAACAGAGTGAAGAGGCCCTGGCCTCCCGCTGCTTCTCATTAGTCACCGCCTGAGCACCAAGGAAAGCCACCATTTTCTTCTAAGCTATTTCTGAGGTCACTGCTTCAAATCCAGCACTCATCAGCTGGTAAAGGAAGTCCTAGAAATGTGTTTGTTTCTCCCCAACCCAATCCAAAACAGAGCAGAGCATCTCCTGGTAGGGAAAGGGGAGCTATAGCAAGTGGGATGTCCCCCATGTTGGGGAGCCAGGACACACACCGGAAGCACGGCCCATTCCACGGCAGGAGTGGCTCTGTCTACAAACAAGCAAGTCACTAGCCACTGTCCTGGCCCATAGCCACCAGGCCTATAGCCTGTGCTACACCCGACATCTCGCCCAGGTCACCTGTGGCCCAGAGCAGGGCTCCACAGAGGTTGCAACTTTAAAAAAGTTTCTTTTTGGTAAAGTTTATTTATTTGAAAGGGACAGAGAGAGAGAGAGAGAGAGAGAGTGAGAAAAGAGTGAGAGAGGGAGAAAGAGTGAGAGAGCGAGAGAGGGAAGGATGGATGGAGGGAGGAAGGGAAAGAGAGAATGAACTTCTATCCACTACTTCACTGGCAACGATGCCAGGAGCCAGCAACTCCTACTAGGTCTCCCATGTGTGTGCAGGGTCCCAAGCACTTGAGCCAGGAGCTGGATCAGAAGCGGAGCAGCCAGGACTCAAACTGGCGTCCCTATGGGATGGTAGAGTCGCTGTATGCCACAACGCCAGCCCTGGGAGCTGATGTTGCAGAGAACACACCCACGGTCCCATCACTAAATGCCTGCATTTGCTGTTATACAGTGTCTAGAGGACAGGTCTGGATGAGGCTGCAGCCCTGGTCTCCTGCCCAGACAGGCGGAGCTGCTTCTGGAGCAGAGAGCGAGACAGAAAGGACACTGCAGGACCCAGCGAGCTGCGGCTCAGAACCCTCTGCCCTTTCTGCTGTCCTGGAAAAGAACAGATTTCATTATCCCCACTTAATTTTGTTTCCAAACTAAAAGCATCCATCTCCGAGATCTACTTAACTCACATTCTCACAGGACCCAAAGCAAAGGTCAGCACAGTAGCTAAACGCGATTTGCAGAAAATCAAAATTCAATTTCAAGGGTAGCCAAGAAAGCTCTTAGCCTGACTTCCCTGCAGCTGTAGGCGTGGGGCCCAGGAACTGCCAGGTTTCTTCCCCAAGCCTCCACTGCCCAGCTCAGCCCACGCCTTCTCATCCATGGTGTACATGGAGTCCCACCTCTCTGGCTGGCTGAGCAAAGAAATACCCTGTGGACTCTAGGGTCCGCAAGACACAGTAACATTCACCTCTTTACCAGCACTTCTGGTGCCAGAAATAAACTCAATTCATCCCCAAATGTGTGATCATTTCTTCCATTTCACAGATGAACAGATAGAGGCTTGGAGACTTCCCTCTAGCCTTAGCATTAGGGCTACGGCCTGTCAGACCCACCTGTCTGAACCCACTGTTGTGTTGCCCAAAAGAGGGGCAGGAAGGAGGTGCTGAGGCAGACACTGGGTGACCTGCGCTGGGGATGACTCTGTTGTTCTGGCTGCCATTCCAATCCAGTCTGAGCAGCCACTTCAACATGAACTTTAGTTCTTTAGGTTACACCTTAACTCATAGACTTGATTTTTCCTTACTTATTCTTGCTAAAACTTTCTGGAACTCATATTTCTAACTTAGTCCATCACGGATTAGCTGTGCAACTGTGATGACTTCCTTAACCTCTGCTCTCTTTCTTTACCTACCAGAGATCAGAATAACTTCCCATTTCCTCATTGAGTTCATAAACACCTGCTGAATTATTCCTCAGCACTAGGCCTGGTGTTTGGTCCAGCAGGAGTCAGTTGGCTAGATCCCTGCGTTCTGCTGGGGAGATGGCAGTCAGGACAAATATGTCATGGTCAAGGAGAAAACACCAAATATGAACAGGAAAGGAACCAACACGGAAAAAAGCATGTCCACCAATAGGATGTTCTGGTAGCTTCACAGGCAGAACAGGTGTGCCACCTCCATCACTGCTTCAGAAATGCCATGTAACCTCTCTGACACAGGGAGTTTGTGCACATCAGTCAAGGGCCATTCCCAGGACCCAACCAAACCCAGGCCCTGGACTGTCAGTCCCCTCTTTTTCAGCTGCAATGATATTCTCAGCCAGTCAGCACTGTCATCTCTTTGGTTCCCATGCACCTCCCTAGGAATGCAGCCTTTTCTGGGTGGTGGATGGTGGCGAAGGACAAATGCATACTCACTTATACTGTGACTGGTCATTGCCACCCACGTCAGGGGATGTCAGCTTCTGCAGCAGAATCCTTATGATGCTAACGAAAAGGACAAAATTGACCTGTGCAAGAGAAGTGACATTTTAGTGGGTGTCTCCCACGGCAGAGAGGCAGGCAGGAGGTTATTTGCTGGCTCGCCCCTGCTCTGTTGTAGGTTGGGCTCCCACACTGCCCTTTGCAGGGGTCAGGGCATCCTGCACTTGCTCTGCCCACCACATTGGAAGCTGGACAGCTCCTCTCCACCAAAGGTATTGCTGTGGGCCTCGTGCTATAGCACTATCAGCACACTAACTTTGGAAACTTCAACTGACAAACGGAAATCCGATGTGTCCCTCAAATCCAGCTGATTTCCATGCCCCACGAAGTCCTTCTAGGGACTTTTGTTCAAGAGGCCCTCCTCTTGGAAGACCAAGTAGTCCAGCTCACAAAAAAGCTAATAAGGCATAGCAGGATGCTCTCTGCCCAAGTGTGCAACTCAATAGACTGTTCATGTTTCAATACCGAATGTTACTTACTATAATAGAAATTAAAATTGGTATTCGGATAACCCACCAGGGAATGCTGTGGTCGTTGGTATCCCAGCAACTGTTGGAGAAAAGGAAAATTGGGTCACCCTGACTTCATCTGTAAACTAAGTACCAGGGGGGTCCATGCACTCCTTGGAGTTACCATTCATAGGAGCAAGTTGAATAGAACCTGTCCCTCCCCTGCTGTACACCACCCACGACTTCTGCTTATGTCATCTGGCTCCCTGGGCTGCCCCATTCACTCCACTATAAACACACAGTCATTCTGCACTTGGAGATCCTGACAACACCTGTCCTATATTTAATTCTTCTCAATGTGACAGTCTGCTCTGAAGAGGCAGGTCCCACAAGGAGCAGTCACAGAAAGCCCAGTTACCCTTTGAGTTGATTATTGTTAGAGAGAAAGCAAGATAAACCAAGCAACTGTAGGCCTCCCCCTCCCCCCCGTTTTGGGTGCTGTGTTGCTTAGTGCTAGATGAGGCTCCTTATGAGGCACAACATTTATGGTGGGTCTACCCCACGCTTGAGTTTAGGGCAAGGTTCCAGCTCGCTGTGAACATGCAACAGGGAGCTCTGGGCCCTGTGTTTATACTGATGTTCTTGATGAGGAGCTGCTGTTCTGGAGAGGCTGATCCGACTGCCCATTCCACCTGTTCTTCATCACTTGTTCTGGGGAACCACACTTACATTCTTTCCTTGCTTTTCTTTCATGGATTGTCGTTTTACCCAAGAGCTGGCCCCTGTCCCTGCCTGGTTTGTGGCAATCCGTCTCTCAAACAGGTCTTCCCAACTCCTTCTCTGTGGATCCCCACACATGCTCCCTTCCTGGATGTTTGAATGCTGTCTACATATCCCTCAGCTGGTGAACAGAGGCTCATATCCTTCTGACCAGGAAACACATCTCTCTCTAGGTTCCAGACGTGTAACCATGATTTTCAATGCCATTCAACAGCAACGTACCCTGTGTCTTCCAACGCGAGCCTGGCCGCGGTCCATGCTCCTATGCAGACAGTGGGGACCCCTGCAGAGAGATGCCTGGTCACACCATCCTGGCGTTTCTTAATGAGAGCAGCAAGCTCCAAACCAACTGTGTGCTCAACAGCCTGCCCCATCTGGGTGGATGAAGAGCAATTCTTGCTCACAAACGGTGATGCGGTGTCTGCTGACTGTTACAGCCTGTGGAGCTTGCCTTTTTCCTCTTCCTACATAGGTCTCCCACCTGGTAAGCCTGCCCAGTCTGGACACCACAAGGCTCCTGCTAATGAGAGAGCATCTGCCCTGCTCCTCTTTGGCCCTTTCTCGCTTCTGATTTTCTTACAATGGATGTCAGCTGGACTTGGAAGAGGATAAACTGTAGCCTGTTTGTTGGTGGCTCAGTTTGAATTGGAGGCGAAAAGAACAGGAATGGGTGACTAGAGCATTGCAAACCAGGCTCATGCCCACCAGAAATACTAACAGGTTAACACAGTATATGGATATACATATCATATATTAATACCACAGATGAATGTTACTATTATGTTATATCCACCTATGGATATTAATGACCAGAAGCTCTAATGTGCTTTTTGATATGGCCTCCCATCAGCATGCAGGTCTCTCACATGACACTGAAGGCTTCCTGCATTAGCAACAAGGTTTTTTTTTTTTTTCTGGGCAGTCTAAGTCTGTACTAATGGCCCCTGGGACAGGAAGCATGGCACTGGAGGGTTTGCACAGTGGCTGTGGGCAGGAGAGACTCTGTAAGGCGGGAGTCTGTAAACCTAGAGGCGTAGTGCACGGACGGGGTCCTTACCCCATCCGATCATCAGATAGGCCAGGAAGCACCTGTTGGGGGAGAATATGGCCACCAGGAGGGTGTGCAGGTAGAGTCCCTCCACGAGGAGCCAGTAGAAGTTGGCCATGATGCAGTACTGGAAGAAGACCAGGCTCAGTTTGCAGCCAACCTGCAATACACAAACAGTGTTTGGTGATAGGCTCAGCTTGCAGCCGACCAGCAATACACACACACACAAACACACTGCTCGGTGATTGGATCCCAACATCAAGATGTGTGGTGGAAAACACACCATTGTACTCGTGTCTTTGCCTGAAGAATGATGGACAAACCAGGGTGGGTAGTGGGTAATCCAGTGGCAGGGACATTGGCCAGGAATGTATGTTAGGTGAGAGCAGTGCCTCTTGTTTACTTGACGCCAGGGGCCAGTGCACGCAGCCTCTGGAATCCCTTGAAGGTAACCATAAGGGAAGGAGGCAGCTGCAGACAACCCTCCCCAAGAAGCCTGCGTGCCTCACTGTGGGGTCTGGGTGCGCTCCAGAGCATCAGCATCCCATACATCCTGGAACCTGTTCTCTCCCCAAGGCTCCACCTTTCTGCCCTTTAGTGTCACCTCCTCTGCTGAATTTCCTTCTCTGTTCTTTACTGTCTACTCAAGGCCCTCTCCCACCCTAGAACATGGCCTTGGTGAAAAGGAAGAAAAGAAGGAAGAGGAGGAGAAGGAGTGTTCTCACAGGTCAACAGGGAATTGGGTAATGTGTCATGTGTTGGGGGGAGGCACTGGCCAGGCTGAGGTTCATCTGTGCCAGGACTCTGAGCTCAGGACATCTTGGGCTCTGCCTAGTGCACCTGTAGCTCACTGGCCTCTCTCTCCCTGAACAGAGGATGAAAACAGGCAACGAGGGAAGTAAAGCAGCCAACTGCAGCTGAAGAAGGTCAGAGGAAGAAAAATGAATGGACCAAACCTAGAGTCCTAAACTTTTCTTTAAAATTATGGGTAACTGGGCCTGGTGCAGTAGTTAGTGGCTAAAATCCTTGCCCTGCACATGCTGGGTGCCGGTTTATATCCTGGCTGCTCTACTTTCCATCTAGCTCTCTGCTTGTGGCCTGGAAAAGCAATAGAGGATGGCCCAAGACATACAGATGGGAGACTCGGAAGAAGCTCCTGGCTTCAGATTGGCTGAGTTCCAGCTATTGTGGGCATTTGGTGAGTGAACCAGGAGACAAAAGATCTTTCTCTCTGCCTGCCCTTTCGTAGATTTGCCTTTTCAATAAAAATAAGTAAATCTTTAAAAAATTATGGACAATCTTGTAAGTTTCCCAGATGTAAAGGGGTAGCTGACTTTCGGGAAATTTAATTATAAATGAAAAAGTAAAAGGGATACACAAGGGAAACCTGGCCAATGAAATTGGAAAATATTTTCACTGGGAAAGACTATAGATGATTTACAAATAGATTATTTTCATCGTGCAATCCTGGTATGGCACAAAACAGACCAGGCATTTCATTTTCACAAGTAAACAGAAAAAGGTCTGCACTTAATCACTAGGTGTATATAATGTGTGCTGGAAAAGGTGAGCATTCCAATACCCGTTCTTTTATATATGTAGATATGTGTCAGCATATCAATATGGAAGGACACATACTGATGTGTACATACGCATACCCAGATATGTTCCATTGGAAGACACAGATATGAGATTGATGAATACATTTATAGATGCAGGTGTATAGAAGGGAAGATATGCTTTCCATTTACACCTATGGATAGATATTTGTACATGTAGATGAATATACTCAGTACGCATGCATCTTAATCTTTGGGCAACAAACCCAACTTTTAATTTTACTTTCCATGAACTTTTTGAAGCATCCACCTGCATCTGAGATGATATTCTTTTCTATATACATACATCTTTATGGGATGGAAACCCTGGTGGGAATCTGCCGGCAGCCCTTTTAAGTCAGCCTCTGGGAGTGTAAGGAGCTCATGGTGGCCCCAAATGTGTGTGATGAAACCCCACCCTCAATGGGACAGCATCATGAGGATAAAGCTCTCAGGAAAGAAACTCCTGGGAGTCCACTCCGCCCCAGATGCTGTCACATCTGCTGGGCTTGGAATCTCTTGCACTGTGAGAAGTAAGTGCCGTTGTGGAAGCTGCCTGGTTCATGGCTTTCCACTTAGCACCATGAATTGATGAGATGGGCACCCATACCTGCGCACTTCACCCACACTTTCCATCTGACGGCAGTCACACGTGCCGTGGCATCTATGGAGGCAGTGAAGCAGGTAAAGCTAAAAATGTGCATGACAGGGCAAGAAGTTACAGGGCTTGTGCTTACCCCCTAAAACCAGCACTGTGCACCCTCAAATGGGCAGGTCAGACGCAAAGGATTTCTATGTTGACCTGCTGAGTGGGGAAGTTGCCGAAAAAGTGGACTTGGTATAATGCCACTGTCTTGCTAAGATGTAACGAAATAGTCTCTCTTTTGATCTGCTCATTCACTGATAAGCAAATCCTGTAAGGGCAGGATGTTTGGTGGTGGTGGACAACCAAATCTGTCAGCTTCACCTTCCACAGCAGCTTCCTTCAAGACACATCCCAAGGGATCATGAGTGTCATGGTGGGTGTGAGGGGTTCCATGGGTGGCGAGGTGCCTCCAGAGCCTATTGCCCAGACCGATTCCCAGACATGCTGCTCAGCTCATGAGGCTCACCAGGGCCAGGTGCCCATCAACGGCATATCCCTGACTATAACTGTGGCCATATTTGGGAGCTTGTGAGTGTGTTCATGCTTGTGTATGCATACATGCACATGGATGTACATACATGGATTTTGTCATGTTTTTGTGTGTTCATGAGTGTGTGTTATGCCTCATTGTGCATACATGTACACCCCTAGGATTGTGTGTACGTGTGCCTGCATGTGTGTGTTTGCAGGTTCATGTGTTCCTGTGGAAGGTGCCTGCTTCACTGTGCTCTACTCAATGCCCATACTTTCGGTCCCTCTGCCATCTTGACCCCTCTATGATGCTGTCTGGGAAGACACTCAGTTCAGCCCACAGCCTCAATCTTGTGGCTCTCAGCATCTCCCCAGGCCATCTAGGCAATAAGCCGTGTTAGATAAGGGTTCCACTTTGACTAGGTGCAGCTCTGGGGCATACAACATGGCTCAGGGCCACTGTGCCCGTTCATTCCATGACCAGCAAGCAGGAATCAGATGTAGAGAGGCTGAGGATGGGTTTGAAGAGTCCATGTGGAATCTTCTCTAGCCAGCAGGGAGAATAACTTTTCTGCTTGCTCTATTTCACACTAGGCAGCTCAGAGGCCCCAAGGAAGCCAGGTCCAAGGAGCCTTCCAGCACTTCTTGGCCATGGAGACCTGTTCACAGTCTGGGCTTTTCCAAAGTGATCCATCCACTTATGGGAACAGCCAGCCATCCCCAGTGTTCTGCTTGGGAGAATGATGCTGATTTGGCAAAACCCAGCTGGGAAAAAAAATCTCGAAAATGCAACTGAAAGGAAAGGATACACTTTTGGCTAATTTACTCTAAATTCGAGCATTCTTTACAGGTAATAAAAGGGGAGAGCCCTCCTTCCTAACCTCCTCCTGTCTTCTGTCCCCTTTTTCCTCGTGACTCTCTCCCTGCCCCACCGTCTTCTGCTCTCTACTTGCTGGTACAGGAACCAGGGGCAATCCGGTTCAGGGCACAGCTGTACTCACTCCTTTGCTCTCCCAGAATTTAGCCCCAGGAAATCAGGAGCCCATGCCCGCTTCCTGCCTCCCAAGCTCCAGTTGGCAGCACCTGACGGCTGCATTGGGCATGGTGGCTTCTGGGTTTGGATTTGGAGACTCCTGGGAAGCAGGAGGGCTTCCCTCACTCTAGTGTCCTCATCTGCAGAATGGGGTAGTTCCTGTTCTGACTGAAATTCAGCAGTGACCTGTGGAGCTCACGCAAATAGCCTGATACTCAGAAGAAACTCAACAAGTGTGTGAAGGAGGTCAGAGACCTGCACCCAGGGGCTGGGTAATGGCAGGGCCATTGGGCACTCCTCAGACCCCACCCCGCATCAGAGGTTCATGCCGCTCTTCCTCGGCCCCTCCAGAAGTGGGGCCCCTCTAAGATGTCTAGGTCCTTCAGGTCTAAGTAGCAGAAGTCACTGCTCCAGGCGAACACTGGATCTGTATTTCCGTAAACCAAGCTCCAAACCGAGAACTGCAGAGCAGAGCTGAAACCACTGCAGGGGGGGGGGGTCTATGTTCTCCCTGCTCTCCGTGTTGGTGTATGCTCAGTATAGCAGGGGTAAGGGTGGCCTTGCCAGGTACAGGATCTTATACCTAATGCAATCCACGCGCATCCTAATCCAGCTCATCCTGGGAAGTACCTCTGTGTACAGAAAGACCATGATGGCCTCTAGCTTACCAAGGGCTTTCCTATTTTGGTGTTCAGTTAATTCAAATCTGTCCACTCTAAGCAACTGGGCCAGTGATAAATCCATCTGCTTAGAATGTGAAAGTCTAGTCCAGCTCCTGATCCCCTCAGTAGTTAGACTGCAGATACCCGTGGCTGGAATGTAAGAAAGACTTGGGAGAGTGGCTTGCATGCAGCAGATGCTCAGGTCAGAGCTGCTGTGTACAGCTGCCTTGATTGGGCCCTAAATAACCACTGTATCTGTGAGTGGCTAAGGAAGTGTGGCAAGCGTGAAACAGACTCTGCTGTATGAAACTAACGCTTAAATATTCAATCATCCTGCATCATAGTTGGACCAAGGACATTCACACACACACACACAACTGGAATCCCAACTGGGTACTGCATGAAATTTATTCATGGTGCAGACCAGGGTTCCTCATCCATCTGGATGGAGACACGCATGGCTCAGATACTGGGTGACACAGCTAGAACACGGAGCTGGGAAGGCTCCACAGGGTCAGAATTCCCCAGCTGGGTGCTGCTGTTGCTGCCCTCTGGGTATTGTAGTTCTGCTGGGCTCAAGGTGCTGGGCTCAGGGCCCTTTAACTTTCCAGTAGTGACCTGTACCCTGATTGCTTCTCTCTCTGCCTCCTTTGTTTTGACTGACCACCTGGGCCTACTTTGACTCCACCGCTCTCAGGCCCTTTCTGTACCCTGATGTGGCCCATGAATGGCTGCTGAGATGAGGACCCTGCCAGCGAGCACTGCCTTACCCAGGATGAAGGCTGGTCGGGACAGTGCAGCGTGCCTGAGCTGGAGTAGAGGATGTCATCCTTGACCAACACTGAAATGGCTCTCAGGATGAAGGAGAGGAACAGGTTCAGGTGGATATAGTTCCTGGTGCAGTGCAGCTTCCTGTGGAAGAGAGGAAGGGAGTGGGGAGAAAGACAGACACTTCATCTTCAGGTCTCTTTCTTTTTCTGGAAGTTAATCATGTTCTAACAGGTCCTTTCTAGGTTTGCATTATGATGCAGAGTTTTGAGCATAAGTCCTTTCCCTTGCTTCAGGCTAGCTAATGTGGTTAAAATTGTGGCAACAGGACTGCAGGACTCATTCCCAAGCCTGTGTGGCAGGTGTTGAGGCCAGGCTGCTCCTGGGCTGGAGCTGCTCTTCCCGCTGGCCCTTTCCCATGCCCACCACTTGGCTCATGTCCTTAGATGCAGACATCAAGCAATGTCCCTCCTTGCCTGCCCCGTCCCTGGCTCCCTCCTGTCTGAGACCCAGGGGCCAACAGCCTCCATCATTCCCTGAGGGACAAAGGCTTTGCTTCCAGTTGATGCAAACGTCCTTGATCAGGTGGAAAGGCTGCCTTCTGTAGAAGCTGATTTCCTCCCAGTCCATACCTCCGGGAGTGTCCCATCCCGGGCTGCATCTGTCTCTCCGTCTCATGGAACACAGCAGCGCCATTCCACCATCTCTGATGCTCAGAAAGCACACGCTCCTCATAAATCAAACACAAGGCAGCTTTCCTCTCACCCCAACTCTGTCCCCTGTCTTTGGTACACAGGTTTATGTCTGCCCCTGACCCTTTCACCACCCCTGACCTGCGCTGTCCATGAGCTAGCTACACATCACAAATGAGACCGAAATGCAGTTTCTCTTGGGGGAATGCATTGAAATTTCAACTTAATTTATTTCAATTTTAATTTAATTAATTTTAATTCATTGAAGATTGAAAAATGGAAGCAGGGTAAACTTTTTCCATTAAACCTAACTTTCTTGTTTTGATAACACTATTCACTTTAACTGTTGCAACGTGCATGATGCGGTGTGTGTATTCTGGAATGTGCACACCAAAACTGGCATAGTTGATAACAGTAGATTAATTTTTTCCCCGCTATTTATGAGTGGAACATTGCATTCCTGTATCCATCATATAGTCAAATATTCATATATTTCCTGGTGTCAGCGTAGAGGTTTAGTAATACTTGCATAAGCCATAACCAGTCATTAAGTGGAAATTACTTTCCTAGTTTAATTATCATCATTTTTCTAGTTTAAAGTACAGGCAAATTTTAGAATTTAAAATGAAGAAATACTATGGGTATGGAATCCAATGAAGATGAGCAACTAACTAGTCCAACGGCCGGAAGAGACGGTACGTTGTGAATTTCACATAAATGGTACCTGCCATTTGCTGTGGCAGAGAACAATGAAAAAGCTACTTGTTGTGAGGGAAAATGTTTTGAGAATAAGTAAATGAGTCAAAGAAATGACTTCAGCAAATATGTATTCAATTTGATAAGAAGTTTCTTATCTATAGTCAGAAATTGATGAAATGTATCACCTGAAATCAGCATTAAAATTCTTTCAAAGAAGGTCCACAAAATAGTAGGACAGGGTCCATCAAGGATCACCTCCCTCAAGAAATACTAATAACTTAACAATTTAACCCAGTCACTCTGGACAAGTCACCCAGTGAAGACTTCGCCTCTGAGACAAGGTAGAATATATTTCAGCCATTCACACTCTGCCCCGCCCCGGGATGGCAGTCATCTTTATGATGGCAGGCCCCAGGCCTGGTATGGGTGCCCGGTCCACCAAGTCAATTTGAAGGACAATGTCAAGTGCGTGCTATGGCTTCGCTGAACTCAGCACTCTCTCGGAGGGTAGAGCTGCTCCTCCAAGCCAGCAGAACCCACCCTGAGAAGCTGCTGCCTCAGGCAGAAACTGGCAGTTGAGGAAAACAACAGACCCTCTGAACACCTGCAAGAAAAACCTTGGAAATGAGAATCTTGGGGAAGGAAGCAGGGCTTTGAAAAGCTTCCGAATATAGAGGGTATGTCAAAAAATCTGTGGCAAAGTGGAATTAAAGATGAGTTTACTTTGGTGCAAGCAGTTTGTGTCCTGGCTGCCAGACTTTTGATACAATTCTCCACAACTAACCTGGGAAAGAAGCAGAAGGCTCTTGTGTCAGCACCTCTGACATCTTCATGGGAGATTCCAGTGAGGATCCTTGTTTCTGACTTTAACTGCTGTAGCTATTTTCTGAATAAAGAACTGGCAGATGGGAAGATGGCAGCTCCCTCCTTCTCTCTCCCTCTCTCTTTCTCTCAGTTTCTCCCTCTCTGTAACTCTTTCGAATTAAGTAAATGAATCTTTTTTGAATTACTTCTTTTTATTAGGAAGGCGGACTTAATTAGAGAAGGAAAGACAGAAAGAGCCTCCATCTGCTGCTTCACTCCTTAAATGGCTGCAATGACGAGAGCTGAGCCAATCCAAAGCCAGGAGCCAGCAGCTTCTTCCAGGTCTCCCATGCAGGTGTAGGGGACTCAAGTCTTTGAGTTATTCCTTATTGCTTTCCCAGGCCATAAGCAAGGATCTGGATGGGAAGCAGAGCAGCCGAGATACAAACCAGCACTTATGTGGGATGCCGACACTGCAAGGTATAAGATTACCCAATTGAGCGATTGTGCCACATGTAAATAAATCTTAAGAAAAGAAAATCCATTATTATGAAAGAAACTATGCATGGATTTCAAAAATGTTTTGCACCAAAACAGAATTATCTTTTAATTCCATTTTCCACACACTTTAAGAAGTGCCTTTGTGCTGGGGTAGCGAGAAATGATTGCGCATTCTTAGGGCAGGATCCATAGTCAGAAGAGATCTTCGAATGCCGCTGAGCTCCCACCCCTTGTTGGGCTTCATACTCAGTAAGAGCAGCAGTGAAGGTGGAGGCAGAGATGGGAGCAGCCTGGCTCAGGCTGGAGGAGCGTTCCCAATGAAAACCCAACCGGCAAGAGACTCTTCTCTATTGTTCTCGCCCCAGCCCTCATAGCTCCCAGATGTTTGAAAAAAAAATCTGCCATACACCTACTTGATTGCTAACCCAACAGCATGAAAGCTTCAGGACCAATGAAGACCAATGTTTTTTTTCAAAAATATTTTGATGCCACTCCATAAAAAAGTATAAACCACAGCAAAGAATAACAGCTTCTAGACAGAAGATAAATTGACTTCCAGAGTTCTCACAACATAGTCACAGAATACGCAGTTGCATCAAGAATTATAAATCAGGAAAAGAAACAGGGATGTGCGCAGGAATCATGTGAAGTGGGTTTATGAGGAAAAGACTTTAAATCAACTATCTTAAATATGCTACAAGAAAAGCATGGAAAAATAAATGAAAAAAATCATGAGAACGAAGTCTCAACAAAGGCAGCATATCAATAAAGGTGCAGAAGTCACAAGAAATTGCCCAGTAGACATGTCAGAGCTGAAATACGTAACAGTTGTGTTGCAGAATTCACTAGAGAAGATCAAAGCAGACAGGAGCAGCCAAAGGAGCCGGCGGACCTGTGGATGGGCCAAGTGAAATGATTCAGTTTGAGAAGCAGAAAGTAAAGCAAAAACGGAGGAGAACGAACAGAATCTGAGCAACTGTCGGGAGTCCCAGAAAGCTGACCTAAAAGTCCCATGAAATGACAAAGTATCTAAATCAGCCAAAACAATCTTTAAAGGAGCGAAGCTGATGGACTCATTTTCTTGATTTCATACCCTACCACAGATCCCTTTAATCTATTCCCGTGGCACTGCCAATAAACTCAAGATGTAAACCAGAGTCCAGACGTGATCCACACATTCACAGCCAACTGACTTTTGATGAGAGTTCCAAGGACTCGAAAGGGGACTCAAAAGCTAGACAATTAGAAAGCCACATGCAAAAGCATAAAGCTGGACTCCTACACCAAAACATATATAAAAATTAGCTCACAATCTGTCAAGGACCTAAATACAAACATTAAAACTGTAAGACTTAGGAAAAATCGTAGGGACAAATATTCACGTCCTTGGATTTGGCAACGATTTCTCAAATGTGATTCCAAAAGCACGAGCAACAAGACAAAAAGAGATGAAATGGACTTTGTAACAGTGAAACAGCTTTACGTATAAAAGGCATTATCCAAACAGGTCAAAGACAACCACAGACCGGGAGAACATATGTCCATGTTGCATAGTTGAGAGTAGTTGCTCCACTTTCAACTAACCAGTGAGACCTAGGACTTTTCCACTTTTGATGGTACATGCACAAGCACACAGCTGCAACTGAAACTAAACCTCAAAATTTTGGAATTTTATTTTTTTCTGGCTAAATATACACAGTGTGTTACTCTCTCACGATGCTGGGCAGCAGTCGTGAACATCAGCTCTGCCAGTCAGACAGGAGGGGAGACAATCAACCCCAGAGTGTCCAGTGTTGCTAAACTCTGACCGATGACAGTCCAGCAGGCCAAGTGCATTCAGTGCATTTAGAACCTGGGATATTTTGCTAGGTTTAATGGTAACCCTCTCTTAAATCAAGGAGCAACTGCATCTGGTGAGGGTTAATATCCAGGCTATATAAACAAACCTTAAAATTCAGCCAATCTAATTAGAACATGGGCAGGCATTTTGACGACAGACTGCAATGAGGAGATAAACAAATCAACAAGCATACAAAACTATGAGATAACACATCACATTCACTAGGAGGGCAATTGTAAAAATATTATAAATATTATTATAATTTTATAAATATTATATAAAATATAATTATTGTTATAATTTTAAGAGAAAACAGAAAATGACACATGTTGAAGAGGATACAGAACAACCGGAACCCAGTTAGGCTGTTTGGGGAAAGATGAAACAGCACAGCCCCTGGACACAACAGGTGTGCACTTCCAGGCACTCGCTCCCAGAGCTGGAAACAGGTATTCACACAAACCTTGTTCACAGCAGCTCTATCCTCAGTGGGAAAAGGTGGGAACAACATAAACACTGAACATATGAATGAATGAACAAAATGCGGCATGTGTTATGAAGAGGTGAAACAACCGTTGCAGGTTGCAACATGGATGAGTGCTTGAAGA